AATATTACATGTTAATAACTTGATTGGAATTATAACCTTGAATTGACAGTTTGATACTTTGAAAATTTTGAGCCAGCCCTACCCCCAAGGGCTGTAGGGTGGGGCTCAAAGGAGTCAGTGTGCTAAAATTTCTTCATTTTCCTTGTTAAGAATCAGAGGTGCTAGTTTCAAATCCTTTTTAGTCTGAAATCTGTATGCTAGATATTGAGTAAGGTGGTTTTATTGTTTTTTGTCACTTTGAATAATATTTCTGTTCATGTTAAAAACAAAATCAACTCTATGTATAAATATATCAGGTGACAGTTAAGGCCCATGGGCCTCTTGTTTTGTCTAATTAGTGTCTTAATTAACTAACACAGTCTTAATTTCTGAAGCAATAGACAATGTATACATGTGTGTTGTCAGACGTGTTTATGTGACAGCTGATGATTTTCAAATGCATTTTGTATGTCAGGAAACAACCATTTTCTTTTTTCAAAAATGAAGAGATTATATCATACTTCAATGTTTTGTCAAATGGCATATCAAAATTCTGTATTATTTTCATGTTTTTTTTCAGTGTTTACAATATCGTACAGAACATGCACAGGACGTGAAGAAATTGGAAAAGTTGACAAGCTTATTGATGAGACACATGGCTTCAAAGGAAAAGTGATTGTATAATCAGTCCAGCATTATCGAGTGAAAGGGAAAAACATGAACAAGATCCTACAGTACCTGTATAAAATGGAAAAGTTTGTAAAATATTTATACTGTCTGGACGAGGACACCAGAACGATGTGTGAAACAGAATTAATTTAACTTAAGGAGACATTTGTAAAACAAAAAATGAGGTCTAGTTTCTGTAGACTGGAAGACAAATTTGAAATATTATGGTAAAATATAAAATAACAGGAAGAAATAATGAGTTATGGTATTGTCCACACAGGTTCTGATCCAATGTTTTTTGTACTCTTTGCTGCCTATGTAGCAGATGTTAGAGATGGTTGATGTGGAATTGAGAGAATGTGGTGTGTTACTGTGAATGATTGAAGTATTGATGTATATCAGGATGAACTTCTGACAGGCCTTCACATTGTACACATGAATTTGCTGAACAATTGATTTGAGAATGCGTGCGTTTCATGTATTATTTGTTTGCATGAACCAATTCTAAACATTGTACCGTATTTGCTATAGGGTGTTGTCTTAAATATTTAATGTTCTTACCTATATTTTTCCTTGTATGGTAATGTGTGTAGCCAATACCACAAAAGTAGACCAACTGATGTATTTGGTATAGTCAAAGGGGCATAACTCTTGGCAGTGCACCATATGCAGTGTGCACCCAATGTATAGTCATTTTAATATATTAATCAGGTAAACACTTGCATAATTATCTGCACCCATTTTCAAGTTTTTGTATTATTATATTAATTAACTTAAACTTAATTTTAAAACATTTTCGAGATGAATTTCTTCACTAATTTATAATCATTTGTATATTTTTTTATTTGACCTGTGTGTTTGTATTTATGAGCCTTAAAGTTGTTTTACATTTTACACTGCAAAAAAAAAGGTAATTTGCCAAAAAAAAAGGAGTCAGGCATAGATAGGAGACATGTTCAACAGCGTGACTTTGAATTACTTTAAAACCCCATATTATGGTTAATCTCTTTTCATTTATACAGAAAATCATTAGGTACCTGTATCAATTTTTTTTTTTTTTTATTAATTTAATTTAAAGTTATGATTTGCTGTATAAGAACATGTAAAATAAAAAAATAAGATACTGTATTAAAGTGAATTTGGCAGGTTTTGTGCATACATGTAATCAGGTATACTTCATGGTGCAATTTTACATTTAGAACATGGGATAATTAACAGCCACTAAAACTGAACTCTGGGGCGTTTAGCCCAGGAGGATAGGTGGCCATTTGTTAGATGAGCTAAAGAGAAGATAATGACGGTCTGATGTACATGTAGTTTGAGATATCCTTCGTGCAGTAAAGGGAGGTAACTTTACTCTTGTCCTTAAAGGACTTGTGAAATATACATCATTTGCAAATAAACTGTTTAGTAACGATTTTTTGTTTTTGTGGGGTTTTTCACCCAATGTTTCACAAACCGTAGGTCTTTTGAGTTTCAACCAATACACAACTCATCACTTTGTACATAACATATTATCTATCTATGTTTCTGTCTCTGATGTTCACGATAAAACGTAGTACCGATGATGGTACAGGAAGGCTGAAAGCTTAGTCGGGCTAGATACTGAGCCTAAAACAAAATAAAAGTTCAGATAAGATAAAAAAAATAATCTTTTTGGCCGTGCTTAGTTTAGTAGACATAACCAAAAACTACTTAGAAAACTTCAGCCAGATTCCAGTTCCGACATCCATAAGTATGGGGATCAAAACTTTACAAGTGATGGGACTAACTCTCCCGAGTAGTGGATAAAAAGGGTCATATTGGCAGATTTGATATAAATGACATCTACTAAACAACTAAGCAGATTTCAACAAATCAAAACCTTTGCAAACAAGCAAATTCGTGGAATTTATATCCCCCTGCTTGCAGGACATATTGTAGGTAAACATTTTTGAGGTTAGGTTTAAACATGTGAGTATCGTGCTGTTGAGACATAATTATAGCTTGAAATTTCGTTATAAAAGGGGCCATAACTCGCCAAATAAAGTCCGCTGAAAGTGGTCATCGAACTTGGCCGAGCCCTTAAGGCATTTGACCATGTTACCAAGTTTGAAAAAAATAGGTTAACATTTGTTGCAGTTATTGCACGGCAACGGCAGATAATGACGTTTTTCGTTATTCAAAGGGCCGTATCTCCGCTGAAATTGGTCATTGAACTTGGTCAAGCCTTTAAGGCATTTAACCATGTTACCAAGTTTGAAGAAAATCGGTTAACATTTGTTGCAGTTTTTGCAAGGAAACGAAGCATGACAGACATACACACCCAAATTAATATCTGCTTCAGTGAAAGCGGGGGATAATAAAGGAGCTTGAGTTTAGGAGAAGGGTAAATGTATAAAAGGGGTCAAATGTGCTTTACATGAATCCCTTCCACCAACCACAACCACTACTGGGTAAATTTACATCAAATTCTTGTTGAGGGGCCCGATCCTTTTTAGTACTGATGGGGTCAAATTATATGATTTTCTTTATATAATATACTAAATACTTTAGTAGACGTTAAACAAACTCTGGTGGTAGGATATTTAGCCCACATGGATCAAAAGTTATACAAATAAAAATGCTAATGTTGCTGGGGGCTCCCCTACCAAACAACTAGGCAGATTTCAGTATCACTTCCAAAATAGGTAGGTAGGCAATTAAAGGCCTTTGAGCCTCTGGATTTGGTCATATCTACAACCGAATCATGGAGTCTGATGCATTATCATGAAATGACCATAATCTAAGACTATCTGGTGTAGAACTTTTTAACTGTTTTTAAACAATCAAATGTAAAAACTTCATACATTTGAGGATGAAAAAGGACCTTGAATTCAAGGTCATATTAAGCATCCATTTAGAAGAATTATAACCATGAATCATTCATAATCCAAGGTAAGTCGGTCTTAAACTCACATATTTGGAAGAAAAAGCCAAACACAAGAACTCAACAAAGTCTACGGACCGTCCAAACTATGGTCCACACAGCCTCTGATGCTCGGGGTAAGATGTGCTGTCCAGAATATATCAATTATATTGTAGTTCCAAATTTGTTGATCTGGGACTTCAATGATTTGGGACACACTTAACACATACCACACAGCTAAATACAACAACAACTTAACGTTGATGACAATTCTTAAATAATAGCTGGAACAGGACATGCATGCCTCCTTCAATATCTGATGCATAGGTTTCTAGTAGGAAAACATTCAGCTATGGTCATCCATTAAGTTGGCCTTAGGTGTATGCTCTCGGAGAAACAGAGCTTAGTTCACGAACATTGATACAGCCAACACCACCAGAAAAGAGTAAAGTCTGTCCAAGGCAAGACAACAAAGCATGAAAAGAAGTCAAACACTTTTCCATGCGTTGTTGTTGTTTACCACTGCTTTAGTTGAGACCTGTTGTCCACTCCTATATACAGAAGCAACTGGTTTGAAGAAAATAAATATTTTCCCTCACTCCAGAAGTCAAATAACATAAATATACAAAAAAACACATTCTTATATATATATGTATAGTTATCCATTATATGACCTTGAAAGTGGTTCAGGGTCAATCTCATTTCTACAGATGAAACCCCTCCATCACTGCAATACAAGTGTCCCAAAGGGCCTGGTTATTTCTCATGGTTTTGAGGTCACCTGAGCTTTGCTCAAGTGACCTATTCTAATCGCTTTTCGTCCGTCGTCGTTGCGTCGTGCGTTGTGCGTAAACTTTTACATTTGCAACTTCTTCTCAAGAACCAGTGGATGGATTTTTTTCAAACTTGGTCAGAATCATCCTTGGTAGATGAGGCTTCAAAATTGTAAAATTGAGAATCCTACCCCAACCCCTGGGGCCAGGGCGGGGCCCCAAAGGGAAAATTAACCAATATTTCAAAAATCTTCTTCTTCAGACTCAGAGGTACTACACTCATTTTCTCTGCGTGGAAAGAAAGATCATCAGGGGCTTTACTTAAATTGTAAATTTCAGGACCCCCGAGCTATCCGTTCTCCCTTGGGGAGGGGGTAAAGTTTACTATAGTTTATATAGGGAAATAACACTTTTGGGTATATTTTGACAACTTTCTGTAGGAAATTATTTTTACTTGGTGAGAATTATCCTTGGAGG